GGGGGGGTAGATAGTGAATAATGTAGATAGTGAATAAGGCACTTCACAATAGTAACCAGCAAAGGTGTGTTAATTGTGTGTGTGTAAATGTGTGCGTGCATGAGTAATTCATAGGTCATTGTATAGTTTTGGGGGGGGGTTTTTTCTCCAACATCGTGACACATGACAGACATTGCTTGTGACACTCCACAACACTGCACGTTCCTTATAGCACATGACACACCACAACACTTTACACACACCAAACGACATATGACACATTGGCAAACTTTACACACACGGCACAACACACACAGCACAAACACACGACACAACACACGACACATCTGCACACTATACATCCACCACACGACACATAACACATTGGCTCACTCTACACACACAACACAACACACAAGATACAACACGTTTGCACACTACACACCCACCTCATAACACACGACACACGACACATCGACACACTATACACCCACCTCATGACACACGTTGCGCGAGACACATCGGAACACCTTGTTCTGCAGCAGCATGACGCTGTCGTGAAGTTTGTGCCACTCCATCTCCGTGAGTGGCAGAGACCTGAGGGAGAGCACGGGGTCACGTCTGGTCAACGCAGCCGTCACAACATCCACGTTGTCTCAACACACACACACCAGGCCAGATCACAACTTCCAGGAATAACCTTCTGTTTTGTATTAAATTGGGGTGGCTGTTTTTACACACTCATTGACTCAATTTGGATCAACAGAGAGCGTATAGAGGTTTGGGTTTTTTTTCTCGATAATTCTTTTACGGCCCTCGCAACTGCATAAGGTCATATGAGTACGCGGGTCACACCAAACATTTTTGGTTGGTCAGAAATTTTGAATTTTGTTTCGGGTGGCAGCTGAAGCCTACTCTTAAATTGATTTTAGACCACTAAGGGAACTTAAATGTGCGCAACTTGCACACGGGACCTCCGAGATTTTTCGCCCTTGTCCGAGAAGGCTAGGTGTAGATCTTTCCTCCAGAAAAATCAGGCATATGGCTGAAAGACAGCAGTAAGATGGAGCCAAGGAGAAGCAGTAGAAAGGCTGCAGAAAGAGCCAGGAGCCCAGAGGAAGGGGCAAAGGAGGTGAGGGGGTGGGGGCAGAAAGTGGAGACGAAAGCAAACTACAGAGCATTGTTAGAGAGCAGGAAAATAGGTGAAAGAAGACAAATTTAGAAAAGAAAATTTTTCCGTTGCTACCCGGATTTGAACCCGGGACCTTTTGAATGAGAGGCGAACACCTTAACCTCTAGGCTACGAGAGCCCCCCTATTTATTATTGTTATTATCATTTAGGAGGTGGCTTTTGACCCGGCCTGTCAGGGCTGACCTGAGTTGAGAGGGAAACAACGCACCCGCAAAAAGATCTACTCAAATAAAGTGCTCCCCACTCAGGAATCGATCTCGGGTCTCCTGCGTGCGACGGCAAAGTACCAGGCCACAACACCACAGAAGCCGATGAACTTCCAGGTCATCTTTTGTCAAAAAAATCATTTTGTAGAAAGACTTTTGAACGGAAACAAATGCGTCTGGCATTTACTGCACACCAGGTTTGTTTTGGGGTTTTTTGCGCGCTCAATGAATTTGTGAGTTTGTGATTTTTTTCAAGAAGTTTACAAACTCGAGCGAGTCTTTGGTGAAATGTTAAACTTTATTCTATACAACTATTGTAGCTTTCCCCCACAAAATATAAAATACTGTACATCCTTACCGTTCATGCATATATTGTGTACCACCACTAGTTAGTTTAGTTTTAGTAGAGGTTTTACGGCGCTCGCAACTGCATACGGTCATATGAGCGCCAGAAGATTAGAGGTGTTACAAGAGGGTAACAAACATAAAAAAGAAGAAGGGGGAGATGAGGACGATAGATATTTGATAGGAAAGAAGAAGCAAACCACACCAGTGCACCCGCCAACCACCCACATACCACCACTGTAACCCAAATTCTCTACAATCGAATTATAAACGAAAGTAGCATTTTCCTTTCTTTTTCCAACCTTACTGCACACAGCTTGACAGCGTGCAGGCAACGGAATTCTTTGTCACTGTATCACCAAAAGTACTACGAAGAAAAGCCAAATTGCAGTACATTTTTCACCTCTTTGCCCCAAGCTGTACATGACAATAGAGCTGGGCACTGAGTCGCTTTAGCGAAATCCGGATAATATGTTAGTGCACCTCTTCGGCTAATAATATGTTATGAACCACTTCGGCAAAAGGGGTAGAACAACTTCGACAAACGGGCTAGCATCACTTCAACAAATGGGTGCACCCACTTGGGCAAACGGGTCAGGAAAGGGAGTTAAGAGTCTGAATTCGGACAATGTTTCATTGATAATTATCTGGTTATCCGGATAGATTATCCGGATTTTGCTCTCTTCTACATGACAATATTTTCAACTATTGTTATCATAATTAAAATTACGTTCATAAAAGACCTTCCTGAAAGTTCTGATCTGAACCTACAAAAAAAACCTTGTTTCATTCATGACAACAGAACAGACAACCAATACTACAACTTTCAGACAGAAAAACATTTCTAAGCAAAGATCACATATCACAACAGATACAGTTTAAATTTTTAGTTTTAGTACAATGTTTTACGGCACTTGCAACACAATAAGGTCATATAACTGCCGAGGATTAGAGGTGTTACAAGAGAGTAACAAACATAAAAAAGAAGGAGGAGAGACAAGGACGATAGATGTTTGATAGGTAAGAAGGAGCAAACCACACCAGAGCACCCGCTAACCACCCACTAACCGCGTAAGGTCACATGGGTGCACGTAAACGACTTCACAAAACCATAACAGAAAAGTACACACAAAATGTTGACTCCTTCACCTTTTCCCCGCTAGTCGCGTCAACTTGACCATCAGACTCCGAGATTCCTCTGGATCATTCTGGAAACACAAAAACAAAACAGAGAGAACTGTTAGTTAGCACTTCCCTCTCTAGCATCAGCCTTAGTGGGAGTTTTGTTTTGTTTGTTTTAGTAGAGGTTTTACGGCGCTCGCAACTGCATAAGGTCATATGAGCGCCAGAAGATTAGAGATGATACAAGGGAGTAACGAACATAAAAAAAGAAGGAGGGGAGATAAAGACGATAGATGTTTGATAGGAAAGAAGGAACAAACCACACCAGAGCACCCGCCAACCACCCACTACGAGTTTTGTTTGTTTTGCTTGTTTGTTTGAGTAAAGAGAAGCAACTCAACACGATAATGGTCATTTAGTCCTGAGAAAAAAGTAAGACACACAGACAGAAACAACAGAGGAAAAGTAAAGAAGTAGGACCTACCAGTGACACCCTCCAACCACCCACACAGACAGAAATATCAGAGGGAAAGTAAAGAAATTTTACAGCACTTGCAACACAATTAGGTCATAATAGTGTCAAAGACTAGAGGTGTCACTAGACAGAAACATACAAAGAAAAGAAGGAGAGCTAAAGATGACAGAAGTTTGACAGGAAAGAAGGGGCAAACCACACCAGAGCATCCACCAACCACCCACTCTAGTTCTAGGACAAACAAAAACAAAGAAAAAAGAGACAACTTTCAGCACTTCTAGCTCTATGGTACACAAAAACAAAACAAAACACAAAGAACTTTCAGCACTTTTAGCTCTAGGACACACAAAAACAAAGAAAAAAGAGACAACTTTCAGCACTTCTAGCTCTACGGTACACAAAAACAAAACAAAACACAAGGAACTTTTAGCACTTTTAGCTCTAGGACACACAAAAACAACTCAAAAAGTGAGAGCCATTTGCACTTCTCACTCTAGGGTACACAAAAACAAAACTAAAAGGACTTTTAGCACTTCTAATTCTCGAATTCACAAAAAAACCAAAAACTTTCTGGCACTTCTAGCTGTATGATACGCAAAATAAAAACGGTAAAATTTTACCACTTCTAGCTCTAGGACTCTCAACACAAAAATTTTGTTCACGGCTCGGATTCAGAAAACATTCACAAATGAGCCACGCTCAAGAGGTCAGCCTCTTTTCATTCATCTGTAAACAATAAAAAATATATGACAATTTAAACCACTTAGGATGTAGTCTTCAACCCTGTCAGGGCCAACCCATGCTGAGAGGGATACAACATCCCAGCAAAAAGACCACCGTACTCCAGAAAAACTCTCCCCACGCAAGAATTGAACTCGGGTCTCCTGCGTGTGACAACGAAGTGCCTAACCGCTACACCACAGACGCCGATTTACTCCTGGACAAGAAACCAAACTCCTGAAAAAAGTCTTATGATCACGGCACAGAGTTTAGACGGTAAAAGAACTGTTTAAATCTTACAACCCAAGCTGCGTATTTTTCTCGCATGAATTCTCGTTCCCACAGTCCCGATCGCGAGCATTTCCCTCAAAGAATACCAGCCGCCTCAAACCCAGTCAGGTATTTTTTACCGTAAACTATCCATTTGTCTCTAAAAATATCCCACATGTTCTCTTCTAAAACTTTTTTTAAAAAGCAGAAAAAAACATTTCTTTAATTCCCGCAAATGAAACGCAGACACAATAAGTATTGGCTGTGCCTCAGGAGTAAAGGACTCTAGTTCTACCCGGGCCACAGGGATGTCAAGGCTAAAAATAGCCCGGTGCTCTCAATACAAACAAGGTAAAGTTATTTCAGAAGACCTCTAAACATAACGTCCATCTCAGGTGACACCGAGCCAACTGGGTGGAGAGTTTTGAAAAGTCCCCAAACAACCTGTCCAAGACCATCCTAGCAGGCATTTAGTTTTTTTTAGTTTTAGTAGAGGGTTTTACAGCGCTCGCAACTGTATAAGGTCATATGAGCGCCAAGGGGTGGATGTCAACAGAGAAGTCTTTACAGGGAATCAGACTTAGACTGCTCACCTCTCTAGCTTCAACCGCACAAAATCTGCTTCCACTATCAAGGCACCCCGGAAATAGCGGGTCACAAGAGTGTGACAAACATACAAAAGAAGAAGAGGAAAAAATGACGATAGTAAGGATGAGGAAAGAAAAAGCAGCAGTTCCCTGTTGCATTTCAGGCACAGTTATGAGCATGACATCGATGAATGAGCCCATTTACAATTCTACTGTGCATAAGAACATGGTTAATGTCCCCCCTTTGGGAATGGCCTAAAGACACTTCAGTGAGTGGCACCGCCCCGAGGAGTTGCAGGGATTTAAACCAGGGCCATCTGCACTACAGCCCGTATGTTACCAACTGAGCTAACAGTGTGCCCGGATAGTCAGGACAGAGCAATAACTGTACAAAGCAGACAGAAAGCAGCCGGGGACTCTCGTGGCATAGAGGTTAAGGTGTTGGCCTCTCACTCAAAGGTCCCGGGTTCGAATCCGGGTAGCGACCAAAACATTTTCTTCTCTAAAATTGTCTCCTTTCACCTCCTTTCCTGCTCTCTAGCAATGTTCTGTTGTCTGCTTTCATTTCCACTTTCTGCCCCCACCCCCTCAC